CGAAGCCTGGTCTGATGATCTGATGTCTGATGGGTTTAGCTGGACCAGCCTTGACCGCGCGTCGCGGGGCCTCTGACCGCGATTGAAATCTGTAGACACCAAAACCAAGTTGGATCGGATGTCTCTTAAATGGGGCAGAAGAGTGAAAACATCCTTCCAAACAAATCCGAGACTGACATAGAACCTGAATCTTTGGACCACAGGAACAGGCGGCCGCGAGGTTTCTCCTCTATAAGACTGGTCATTTTTATAGATTACACCTATAAAACTAGCCAAGGTGATCAGCCTCTGGGCCCCGACGGATCCCGGTCCGCCTTCGGCACTCGGGTGGATGCCATGATGGGGGCAATGGCTCCTCACGGTTTTTCGAACATTGGACGAGAAGGAAGCAACCAAACCTGCTGAACGGATGTTTTCATGTGTTTTTCTGTTTTATTCATCAACCATTAGATACCACCGGTATTTGATAAGGCAACACTGGCAACGCGCCTTGTTCTTCAGGAACAACAGAAAGGACACATTGTGCCTTTTGTTTCTGAGAACTGAGAACAACAACCGCATGACACCAGTGACGGACCACTAAAGAAGGTCCCAGCGGATCCTATCAGGACAGGTGGGCTTCCCAGCTACGAGTTGTTGGCGCAACACGTGGAGACAACTTGCCTGCCGATCTCCACACCAATGGATGGTTTCGGACCTTGGAGTAGATTCGATCATTACAGTCAATCATGTTGTTTATTGCTGTTGAACGCTTGCAACGTGTTTCCATAGGTTCCATCCCTTTTCCTAAACAAAATGGACAAATGACAGTGGCTATGATGCTGTACGCGGCCGGAGGTCGTGGAGGCTGTACGCAATGTCCCAGTTGCTAATACTAGCAGTCAACCAAAGTTGTCTCCTTAAGAAGATGCGTGTAGCTTTGCTGTTTACTTGTGAACGTTATCTGGACTTTCTGCCGGTGTAGAGACCCACGTCCACAACAATTGCACTGAACAAACACAAACACCACATTATCAATATTCTTTGGGAAACTGTTCATCGCCAATCACCTCATGTCTAGAGACCTTCAGCTGCTGTTGATAATTGTTGCAGCTCGAGGAAAACCATCCACTACACACAAAGATAATTCTTGACCAATGGATCCATCCACTTGAGCTACAGCCAAAAAGCCGACAAAACACCTGGATGGTGATAATCGCCACCAAACCATCCCACTTCGTGGTTTTGGCCTTGGCTCAGTAGAAGACCCTTGGCCATGTGAGAAGCCCTTCAGCCTCCCAAGCCACTCCAGCCTCGCTGACTTGTGGAGCGGGGTACTCGCGGTGCTGATGCCTCGTGTGGGACATGGTTCCGCGGGAAGCTCTTCAGCGGAGACCCCGGAAGCTCTTCAGGTCCAAATCATTTTTACTTAACCCAGAAAGAGTATAAGCCCCCATAGAAAAGCGATGAACAGCGCCTCGCAAAATCAATCTTTTGACCACTGTAGAAAGTCTACCATCATGTTTCAACACTTCCTTTATCATCCTTTATCTATATACATATATACAATATTTTTTTGTGGTCCTGCCATCAACCCCAAAATAATCAAACTCCAAAAAAACAGTCTCATCACCGCGAACCGGGGATATAGAAAGCTAGAGCCAGATGGAACTGATGGACAAACAGAGTCACTGCACCGCCTCAAGGTCGCTCAAACATCTGACCGACACTTATACTTTTAGAGCGTTTTGTCAGGCCCTTGCTCTTATCTTTTAGGTGGTCCCTGGCTGCAGTAACTACAGTTTTGTCAGCTGCTTATATTGGGTTGAGATTGGATTGCAAAGATTGAGCAGCAAATGTTGTCGTGTAAGATTTGTGCGTGCTTTTGTGGTGTGATGTTACTTTCTGCCAGCAAATTAACAACCAACCAAAACTGGATGATATATATATATATATGTGTGTGTGATTGTATTCTGTTGTGTTTGGCTTGTTAGTGACGATTTTGATACCTGCAACATGGTCACCAACAATCTAAGTCACCAATTGAGATGAACCACATTGTGAGGACCCAATAGATTGAAACAATAGCATTTCTTAATTTACATGATTTGTTTTTTCACACCAGAAAACAACATGATGTTCTCAAGTAGTGCAGAATCAATCGAAGTCGTTCCCCCCCACCATTGCCGAAAACAACCAAATGATTGGTGCACAGGACAAAAAGACTACAGAATCCACAGTGGACACATATGATCAATCCTTACACACGTGCGGTCCAATAAGTTGCTTTCCACACACAAATGGTTTGATTAGATCAATCATGATTCATGATCCATCAATTCCTTCAATAATTACTAGAACTAACACATCATGGCTTCATGGAAATTCATGGAACATCTGCCAAAAGATCCTCACCAGTGAAACATCATCTTCATCATCAGTTGTTTCACCCACCGCTCGCGCCGCTTCCGGGCCTTGGGAGTCCCGTGAGAGCCCTTAGTCTCGGGCGAGACTCGTGGTGAAGGTCAGTTCACCAGTTCGAGGCCAAAGGAAACGTCACAAACTATGTAGTTTAAACATGTTTAGACGGTCCTCAACATGTATCTATATAATTATATATATACACACCTCTGAACTAATTGAACATATGTTGAGTGCAAGTACCAACAGAACATGTGATTTATGATGTTTACATTGTTCTGCGCTCGACATATGTGATATCTATGACATTTTGATACATCTTGTATATACATATATATATATATGTATATACAGTAAATGTGTGAAATAATTGTATGCATTGTGGGAGGTCCTGAATACCTGCATGCAGAAGGCACTGACATGGACCTCAAACCCTCTGGGTCTTGTGAGGACAAGAATAGATCCTAACATGGACAAAGCATTTGGATACTAGTCATGGTGTCTTTCCACAGGTTATGAGACCAAGAACTCTTAGCCGGTTTGTTTGAATGATTCACGGAGTGAATCTGAGTTGCATCACACGTCCACTGGTTCGACAGAGTATTCTTCTTAACCCAATCATCGCCAGCCATGACTGGGACACCAGAAACCTCCACGTTCCCTCGCCGTTCCAATGAGTTGACCCACCCACTGCTGACCCACTGCTGACCCACCGTGAACCCGGAGTCCCGAACACTCCATGGGGCGATGGATTGGGTTCTTCTGGGCGTCCTGGACCATGGTCCTCTGATTGAATTAGACAATCTTATCTAATTAGTATAAATACATGTTACATGCTCGTGTATATACAGTAGCTGTGCAAAATATTGCAGTGCCCTCGTAACTTCGACATGAAGCCAAGTGACTTCCCTGACACCTGGACAGGTTTGTAGTCTGCGATTATACTATATTATGACGGATGCCTTGCATCCTGACAAGGAAAAACTGAACATGTCACTTTGTTGGGATGGCCTTGACAAGGCCCCAGCACTGCTACTGCTACATGTATAGGAGCATTCGGTCTACACGTGTGCGCGTAGACTGCAGATTGGGTTGTGATGGCTCCGAAACACGTTTACTCAGATGTTCAATTGCGCCATCATTAAGTCTCCTGCAACCCGCACTTGAGTCACTGGCATGTTGGTTTGGATAAACGTTGGGAATAGAACTCAACCGCTTCAATACGGTGTCCCATGGCCCATATATGTGTTCATATGTTTTCATGTCTGATCATGTATGATAGGGCTCAATTGCTAGTAGCTTCTCGTTACTAGTAGTAAGGCCAGGAGCGTAGCTTCTTGCTCCTAGTAGCAATGCCCTTTGTTACTAGTAACTAGTAGCGTCTTTGTTACTATCCAACCTACTTGCGATGGCCTCCACCTAATAGCGTCCTTGTTACTAGTAGCCTGCTACTAAGTGGTTAAACACTCAGACTCAAACCCATTGAAACTCCAGGTCCCGCGCCGCTGGTGAGACGGAGCGTGCCTTGGGCACCTGATGCGTCAGCTCAGATGGTCGTGATGGAAGGAAGGGGAGGGTCGAGGAACCCAAGGTCAAAAGTCTAGTGGTCATTGGACAGATTCCACATGGAACAGGGAACCTGAAAACCACTGGTCTGTGGAGGCTATAACTTTTCCAAAGGTCCATTTTATCATTTTCAGGTTCCATGTAAAGCTTCCCGGCTGTAATGTCTTGTGAAATCCTCGTGTAAAGGTGAACAACTTGATCTGTGTTAGTTGGACACGCGCCCAGCTGCTTGGAAAACCACCAAGAAACACAACACGTGGCCGGCCGGAGCACGGGGCGATACCTCTTTCATCCTCTTTCTAGCCAAAAAGGAAGAGGAGAAAACCCAGTCCAAACAAAAATGAACGAACATGGTCTTCCAGGAGGCCACCGTCCCACGCCCATGAGTTTCCAACAACGACGCATCACTGCTTGAAAGAAAAGCACATGTGCTCTACCCGCTCCAAGATATGTACAAACATGTACAAACCAAACAAGCAACAAGCTAAACATGTCACATTTCAATGGTCTCTCATGGTCTCTCCATCACCGCCGCGTGAATCACATTCCGCACCGACGGCGCGGAAGTGTTTTCACATCCACTGAGATGCCCGGCCCTGGGCGATGCAGAGCGAGCCTGGAAGCCGCAGGAAGTGAGAGTAATAGGCTTAGTCGATAGCTGGGTAAACTCCATCCCAAGGGGTCCAGAAAGGAGACACTGTTATGTAGGAGGGTTTGGAGGGTACTTAGGATCCCTACACCATTGCAAGTCCTCGGGACTAGCCAACTCTGGGCCGCTCTCCAACTCACGGCTTCTCGCAAAAGCCCTGCGCACGACTGCGAGGCCTGTTTACACAGAATACCTCACCACAGCGGGGTACACCGCCATGGTGGTAGGGTGGACACATGTCGTATACCTGGATCAGCGTCTTTGGAAATGTGCTTCAATGGGTGCTCACTGACTCAATGATTTGCATTGATTTGCCCTCTTCTTTGCTTCGATGGCTCAGGCCTTATCTGGAACGCGTGGTGAGATTGGACCACCGGATGCCATGTCATCCACATGGACTCTCTTTGGGCAAGTCTTGAAAGTGGCTGGCCAGGACCTTCACCTTCTGCGCTTGTCGACTGAGTTGAAAGAGTGTGATGATTTGGAAGAGTGGACCTTGGACCTTATTCTCTTCGGCGGCTTCGGCTCTCACGACGGGCTTCAGATTTTTGATGATTTTTGAGGGTGCTGAAAAAGTAGGCCCTTGTGCTCCTGCTTCCGGTTGATCAAAGGCCTGATGAAAACCGTGGGTTCATGATGCCCTCATTTTCTGGACCAATTCAACAGGCAGGTGTGTGGAACACGACTCACCCTTTTTGTGCCGCCACCTTGGGGCATGGCTGGCTGCACGCTGCCCGCATTTGGATTGAGAAAGCCAATTGGGGCATAGATCGGTTGATTGGAATGAGGACGTGATGACATGCGGGGTGGCACCACTAGCTGAGCCCTACAAGTTGGCAGCGCTCTTTTCTGGCTAGTCCGCGCTGCCTTACATGTTTCCGATCGTTTCATGACAGCATCCCCACCATGTCCACCATGGAGCTGTGGCAAGCAAACGAGCTTGCTCGACGAAGCGTGGTGCTTCCTTGACTTCATGGAATCTGCAACGGTTAAACCAATCGTGATTGCTACCAAAAGTGATGGGATTGAGGTCCATCCTTATAAGGGTCATCAAAATACCATCCAAAAGGATCCAAATGGCAGGACATGTCAAACAGTGGTCTCACAGGATCTGCTAACACATCATCTCAATAGAGTTACAGGACAAAATAGCTCGCAATCTGGATAAAAACTGTGTTGCAGGGAAAAAACAAGGAACGACTTGTCTGCCATTTGCAACACCGCATTGCTTGGAACCATTGCTTCCACCTGCTTCCACGAGCTCGCTGTGTGTCCTGACCGGGTCCTGATGGGCCCTTGCTGAGAAGGCATGCGTCGTGGGAGCCAATGACTTCGTTCCCACCCACCATTTGCTTCTTATTCTGCACAACACAGTCTCCAGAAAGAGCATCCCAGGAACAAATAAATGGAACTGTTTGCCGGCTTGCCTCAGCATCATGGAAGCTTTCGATTCATGGACCCTTTCCCTTGCACTATGTTCTTTCTTTGTTCAAGGTCTGTGATACTATAGCTATATACTAATCTCTGGTCCCATTGGACCTACGTAGAGCATTCAATCAGATCGGTCATGCAATATCACAAGTCTACGGCTGGGTACACAGTCTTGGCATTTGATGTATTCACAAAGATCCTTGCTGCAGGAGTTTTCCCTAACTCCACCAACTACTTCGTGTGATCTGAGACTGAGAGGTTGATAAGGTCTGCAGGTTGTACTCAACCCCCGTATTCAATGGTTGCGCAAGCGCCGCAACCATGATGACTGTTGGATCTGTTCTTGATCGAGTGAAACATGGTGGAGATGGAGTTTAATTTCTGCAGCCTGCTAAAGAAACGCAATGTTGGAGTTTCATGCACGTTGAGGCCCCCAAGCGGCTTAAAGTGGACATGCACGTCAAATCCCTGAAGACAAATCCATTACCAACCCCTTCAGAAACGAACATCATAAATCCACCAAGGAAAATGCCAAACATGTCATGACTTGACACTTTGGTTGAAACGCCTGAGTCGAGCGTCCGCCACCCTTTCGGGTCGCGTCCATCGAGCGCCCGGGCGGGGGAATTCGCTCGCTGTGATGCCGGCGCCTGCGGGCGACGGCCAGCGGGCGACGGCCAGCGGGTGGGTTTGACAAAGAGAAAGAACATGCGTTGACAAGTTGACGAACGAAACAAGGATTATGTTTTTTCAATTGAGTTTAACACTCTGTCGTCTGTAATTATATGCACCCTAATTCTGAGGGTAATCCATCTTTGACTAGTGCAGAGGACCCTGTCAAGAGAGTGCAATAGATCAAAACATGTCAAAACATGTCAAAACTGTCAGGCTACCTACTATCCTACTATGCAGTAAATGGATCTGGAGGTATGTCCCCATTCATCGTAAATGAGTGGAGGGCGCATAGCGAAAAAGCTCCTGAGATGAGATCCTGCGCGGCGCCAAGAGCTTGATCACAGGGTGAAGATTTCTCCTTCATGAAAGAACTTTAACATAGTTCTACAGATTCCGCGATGCCGTTGGAAGGATCATGGTCTTCGCCTCTCCGAACATGAGAATACGACATGACATCGATCATAGATGCACCATCTTCGTGGTACTGCAATGTACTGCTAATATGCTGTATGGATAGTAAAATATGTAAAATGAACATCATGTCCATGGTGCATTCAGAACACTGGCTCCGCATGTGACGTGCGCCTGCTTCGCAGCCCGGACGCTCTCGGACAAGGAGGAGCTTAGGGCACCGGGCCTGGGAGGCAAAGGCGCTTCACCCGGGCAACACCGGCGGAACAAACCGTTGCAGCACCGATTCAGTGAGGTCGAAACCCTTTGGAATCGGAGAACCGCTTCATGAACCCTTCCTACACCGTAAACATGATGTAGAATGATACTCCCTTTATGGGAATGAACTCCTTCTCCCATAGAAGAGTGGATCCCACAAGGATCTGGTGTGCTACAGGACGATCTGATCCTTTTCTGATGCGCAATGCATCATAACTCCTAATTGATGACCCTCCAAATGTGCAAATATTTCACCATTCCGCTCCATCTGTAGGGGGTGTTGTATATATATATATATGTATTAGAAATGTTAACTGAAGTAGTATGTTCATGATCCAGAATGTTGACTGTTACACCCTCTACCTAGGTGGTCTTTAACATCATCCTTTGAGGGGACTCCTTCATAGTCAGCTGTTTACTCTTGGATCATAGTTTGACATAGATATACTTCAATGATATTCAATGATCGATTATACATATATGAACACATTACATATGTAATATATCGTGTATATATATACACATGTATATAAATATATATATATATATGAAGTATACATACTGTATATATATATAAACCATGTAGTTTCAGATACATATTGTTTGGATGCACCACTCAAACCTTGACGCGCCTGGGCCGCCCGGTGGCGGGCGAGCTGGCCCGTGAGCTCTGCTGGCTTCGCGCAGGCGAGCTGGGCGGTCGCTCGGCCTTCAGAGCTGGGTGTCGCAGCCGGGCCATGTTCGACAAAATTTTATTTGGTTCAAATGTGTTTGGGGTTGGTCCCACATAAACCCCTTTTCAACATGTTGTGGATCCCTTTTCAACATGTTTTGGACACCCTTGTCAACATGTTCCTTTGATGCGTGGTTCACTTGTGGTGTTGAGCACCGTTGGAAGGCCCACTTCAGGCTCCGAATGCGCCCATCCGCGCCGTGCCTTTGGCTTTGGCGCCCCTTTGGCCTGGCAAAGACTCTGACCACCGACGACTGAGACGCTGACGTGACGCCAAAGATCCCCGTCGGCGGGCCTCCGACGTCGGACGGTTCATCTTTGCGCTGACCTTGTCCATTGTGAACCGTGCCCAACACAAGTGGCGTGACTTTGAGCTCTCGTGGCATGAGAATTTTCACAGCAACCACAGCAAACCGGAACCGAACTCGACCATCCAAAAACCGAGTGTGAAACCGAACTCAAGCATCCATTTGGGAGTGCCATGGTCCGACTGGTTCCACCAGCCCTCCAACTTCGATTTGGTCCGATGCTTCTTCGCCTTGGCAGGTGGCTGTTGTGCTTTGGCCTGCACAGCTCGGGTCGGTGCGAAACATGTGAACATGATACCCCCCAGTTTGACCATCTGGAATGAACATTGTTTGGGAATGAACATGGGAGTCTCCCACAATTATTTAATACATTGTTTGGGGCCCCAAACACAAGTGCCTACACCACATATACATTGAAGTACCTTTGTGACCTAGGGACGGTAAAATTTCTACGTAAACATCCTCGGCCTCAGTAGGTTTGAGCTCCGACGACTTTTTTGAGGTCCTGCTTTGGAGAGTTTGGAGAGTTTCTCATCCGACTTGCTTGAGTAGTCAGCACCGTGGCCACTGGCCACAGCAAGTTTGGTTGTATTGAAATCCCGCTGTACTGGAAGAAGCACGCGGGTGGGAGAAGCAAGCGAAACAGTGGGTGTTCAGTTCCCTGGATATGTTTTGGACCTTGGTACAGTGAAAAATGTTGGGAAACCTTGAAGCGGCTAGCTGAGGCTCAAATGAGCTTCAGCAACTTCAGCTTTCTAAGTGATGTGTTCCGCGGTGGAGCGGAAACAAGTTCCACAAACTGTGTTCACTTGTCATATTCTCTTGTCTATATATACCAGGGCCAATTTCTTCAAGTGCAGGTCATAATATGCTTTTGCTGTGTAGACTGGTTGTGTCATTGCTGGACAAACTTGACATGTTTCCTCTTCCAACTGTTGAATGACACTTTCTAGTGGTGGGTGGGATGAGGGGTCTACCCAATGATGGAGTTACAAACTGATGGAGGTAGGAACATCGAAAGGTCCAAATTCTATAGATTGCAATCTGTGAGCACTTGAGAGCAAGGGTGCACGAGGCCCGCCTACAAAATGACGTCTCCAAAGTCTAATGCGCATTGTGTTTCCGCTGTTCGGTACCTCTCACTTGCACCTGTACAAAAGAATACTGTGGGTTTCCTTAATTGCAATTCTTTCAACAAAGCCTAAAGCCTCACTGCAAAATAACTGGTTCCAAACAGCCTCACGTGTCCACTTACCACAAAATGATTACGCCCGAAACACATGTTACTCTTAGAATACGCAGTCCAATGCAGATATCTTCAGGCCCAGGCCCAGGGTCTAATTTTTCAGAAAACTCCATCAAGGATTGGTTGTCTTTCTTTGGCACGGTGAGCTAAAACAAGGCCCAAACAGCAATAATACGCAGAACACACACACACACAAAAAAAGAAACATAAAGAAACCATCTAAAACAACAACAACTTGCCATGACATAGGGCAAATGGCAATGAATCAACAAACATGTGCCGTGTCACCTCATCCTCAAAGCAAAAGCCGGATACAAACAGAATCAAGTCAAGCAACGAAAACACAGATGATGATGTCTTTTTCATCCTTCCACCAATTGACCCACCGCACCTTCGCCTTGGGTTTGGCCTTCGGAGCGTCGTCCGAGCTCGGCCAAACCGGACGGATGGCCATGGACATGGCATGGGGGAAATGGATACCCTAAGGGTCCGAACGGACCCTCCAGAGCAGGGGTATATAACTACCCTCTATAACAGGGGTTTGGGTTTGTCAGAAACCCTTGTTTTGGGTGTCACGTCCGGATCCTTCGGGGAGTTCGATGATAGAAGGACTCGGGGGAGACACCCCTTCAAGTCGCGAACAAGTTATGACATGTCATGACCAATGACTTGGTTAACTTGGTTTTCTATAGTTTTTTTTGTTTATTCTCACCCAGCTCCTAAGTGTCATAAGTTCCAACATATGAAATGACACCACTTCGTAAATGGGTTCAAGTCATGCCACCCAAATCCACCCAATTACCACATCGTCCGCCGTCGTCGTGCCTGCACCGCAGCCGATGAATCAGCCTGAAAAGACAGCCGATGGTGGAAGATGCTGGAAGTCCCAACGGGACAGCCATCACCGGCGTTTTTGTTGATTTAAACATACAACATCATATATAACGTGTTTGACTTCCTTGTCCTGAAACGGACAAGTTTAACAGGTGTCGATTCACGTGTCGCCTGCAACATTGGGCTGTTCGACGGTCCTCAGTTCTGGGAACAACGGGCATGGTATCGGTGGGTAGTCATGAGGCTGAGTTGTAGCGCCGGTATGTGAGAAGTATCCAAGTTGGACCCAATGTTCTTTTTTTTTCCATGGCTTGCCATGATTCTGGAAATCTAGCCAATTGAGCCGTCTTCCACAAATAAATTCCATTAAATTCCCACGTTTGCTTTGTCTCATGCTGCATACAAAGTTGCTGGGGCAGCATTGCATTAAAATAGAAAGAACTAAGAACACACAGGCATTGAGGTGTTTTCGTGCCTTATATATCTGCACAGCAACACAGTGTGTGAAAACGCTCAGCCAAGGGATGGCTGACGTAAGACGTAAACGTAAACCTGGCAAGGTGACCACTGGCAGCTACACCTTACAAACTACGATCGTGGACCTGGGGCAAAAGCCTTTAACTTTTGGAACTCCCGCCACTGTGTCCAGCTAAAGCTCCTTTTGATCAATATACAGTGTCCACCCTGGGCATGAGCTGCTCCAACGAGCCCACTCATCTTTTGGCCACGACTCTGGCTGTGTGAGAATCAATAGATCCACCCGGGGTTTTCCTCCCAAACCCACAAACCTGATTGGGCCCCACAAAACACGTCGTCACGCCTGTGGCGCATCGGGTGTGTCCAGGGCCTCTGCAAAGGTGTCGAAAGCCTGGGAGCAAACAAATACCTAGTACTGAAGTAGGCTGTTGATTCCGCATCTGAAGTCGGCTACCTTCAAGAGTACCAAATCATCCAAAAAAGAAATCATACCACAGCCAGCAGTCACTTCGATTTGGAGCCTACTCCGACACATGGACACGCTTGTGCCCAGCTCGGGTCCAAACTAAGTCATGCAGCGTTCTCTTTTCTGCAGGATGGGAGCAGCCCTCACCACGCAGGAGATTGAAGATTGAACAGTCAAATCATGCCCACACCTCGAAATGTCCTGCCTTTGAAGCATTCGAGGTGGGGAAATGACTTGGAAACCTGTCTTCAAGACAACTGCGGCTAGCGGGAGTATACCGTATACCCGCCGGGTTTACTCTGTTGGATCAAGACACTTCGGAAACCGACCAGCCACGAAGCCACGGTGGCAACCCAAGACATGCAACTTACAACATCCCCTGGAAATCATATGTGCTGGTCCAAGCAACGTATCACAACTTACTCGAGAAGTTCCCAGGCAAGGCCTTGCTTACAAGGTCCTTGGACCTTGGAAACAAGTGAATATCTTGCATTTTGCATCTAATCACCTGCTGTCATGTTCTCTCACTCCTCCTGGCTGGTGAGTAGATTGTAGATGTATGCATACGTGTAGATGATATAGATGTATGTATTTACGTATGGCCTCCAACCTAGTAGCCTTCTTGCTACTATTAGTACTACGAAATGAAAGTATTGCCTAGCTACTAGTAGCGTTCTTGCTACTAGTAGCGATGCCCTTGTTACTAGTAGCTTCTTGCTCCTCGCAGTAATGCCAGGAGCTACTAGTAGCGTCTTACTGTCCTCACGCACGCCATCCCCAACACCTTTCACTTTGCCGCCCACCTCAGCGGTGGACTCCTCATGGAAGAAACCCGGCGCTGGCCGGCGTGACAATGCGCCCGCAGCTGGTGGCGGTGCACCTTGGACCTGGGAAACACTGCAAAGGGTGGTCATGGAAGGTCATGGACAATCATTGACCCTCTGGCACAGGGTCACTGGAGGATTGGTGGATTTGACCCAGTCGTGAGTTTTCGGTCCTTGCTTTGGAAGGTTGTGGGATGGGTTTCTGGAAACACATCTGTATATCAGCGGTGAAATGAGACTAGATGAGTAGTATGAAACCACTTGCAAATGATTTTCTTGAAGTCCCACTTCTTGCCAACTTGTGCTCTGGGTGCCACCGACGCGAGACCCGGTTTTGCATCCAATTCAATTCGACCCCGTGTCGGGCCGGGAGTTGTGCATAGCCGTATAGCCTATACGCATCTAAACGAATATACGTACCAAGTATCAGCCGTTCCCAAAGGGGCGCTGATGGAGTTGGGATGCAGTGAGTGGGTGCCACTTGTGCCACTTCTACAGCAACTGGAGGCCTTCAGTAACCACTGCAACCTGGAAATCAACTGAGAGGTTTCTGACCTGATCAGCACGAAACCACCCGCAGCACGAGATTCATCCACTCCCACAAACGGCCGGCATCCCTCAGAAACCTGCCACGCCTGAAATGATGGCGAGCTAGGGCTGCCTAAGGTGATCGCGTCCTGTGCGAAGACGACACATGGATCTCAGCGCCAATGGATCTGTGTGCAAGTGGAATCAGTGTTGAAGCAGTGAAGTGACATGCATGAGTTCGAGGTCACTGCTGAGTCATGCACTGAGGCAGCTGCATCGAAGGCAGCGATCGACTCAGGCTGCATGCTTGTTGGAAGGGGACTGGTCATTGTCTGGAAGCAGTACCTCTATTTTTATATGCTGTATATAATCGTATATAGACTAGAGATGGCACACCATGGCACAGCCATTCGATCGGGACCCTTTGGATGCCGATTGGTTAAACCACTTGTTCACTTGTTGGGAATTCTGGCATCTGCTCTGAAAACTACAGCACTTTCCTGCATCCTGGAGATGGAAAAGGAAAGGCCCCTCTTTGACCCCAAAGGCTAAGCTCTGACAAGGACCAGAACGGAATGTGGGAGAAACATGGAGAAACAATGTTATGTTGTTGCTGGATCGAATCCCTGCAACCGAACAAGACCTGAAAGAATACCTGGCACGTGCTTCGAGAAGTCACCGACCCAACTTTGGTTACCCCGACCATGCAATTCCCTACCTCCGGATATCACCATACCGTCCACACCCGTGGCTCGCCAAAGTGGCCTCGAGGTCACTATCATCGAAAAACATGCCTCCCGCACGTCCTCAGGGCAGGCGCCGCGACCGTCCCGACAGACCACTTGGCACATCGCGACATGCCTCACGATGGCCGACTTAGGCAAAAGTGGAATATCTTCGCATGAAATACTACTTGCTTCTACTTGCCATCCCTGAGTAAACCTACCTGAAGGGAAGACTGATCACTCGTACGTCCCAACTCAGCACAATTTCATCATAGAAAGCTGAAAAGCAAGGCCTCCTCCCATCAAGTCATAAGTCTTACAGACTCCTACCATACCTGAGAAAAAGAGTCCTCATGTTTATCTTCGGAGTCCAGGTCGTGGATTTTGGCCTCCATCAGAGCGCTGCTTGACCTCCACCCACGTCCACCGACCACCGAAGCCTCCACACCAAGTGGCGACCTGGGGAGATGGCCTTCGGCAGGGACACCAAGCGGCGGCGGGATTCCTGAGAAGAGGAGAGGAGAGGAGACTTCGACACCGACCTGCACCATCATTTGATCTAAAATAAAAGATGGGGATAAACCACACAACCGTCACAATGAAGTTAATGAAGAATGTTCCAAGAATGTTTGCAGCTGTACTGTACATTTTTCACTGTGGAGCTTTGCCTGATGTGCTGTGAATTGAGTTTTCTTTGCCAGTCAGCTTGAATGAAAACTTGTTGTCAATTGTGAATACTTCTGGTAGATCAGTTACTTGGCTTCATGCGGAAACATACACAAACAAATACAAACAGCATTCCTTCATGCCAAAAATACTCAGCTCTGGGATGTTCTTTAAGTCAATGGTGAAACTGAGAGGCTATTGAACTGTTGAACTCTGAAACAAATGTCTCTAAATATCTCAAAATCACAAAAGGATCAAAAGAGCTGTCTAGGAGGAGAGAGGACCCACCAACCAGACCTTTTCCCTGTGCCTTTCCGACGCCTCCTGTCTGTTTTGATTTGGACGAGCAAACCAAAAACCAAGCGGCTGCATCAGAAGCACCACTGTCATCGGAGAAGAAGGAGGCCATGACGGCGAAAGGAAACTGTGGATAAATAAACAAAGGGTTCTGATTTTGAACTCCGGAATTCTGAACTAGCCGTCCAGTCATTCACTGCTGCTGCTAGTCTGAACTCGAGGATCCAGAATCCAGCTGAGAGTCTGAAGGGGCATCTCAAAGAAGAAATTCTGTTGATTCTGTGCGAAGAAGGCAGACTAGCTTGTTGTGAAGGCTTTTCTTGAGTGCCTTAGTTTGTTTGTTTGTCCTCTTAGATGAACTCAAGCAACATCGTAGGGTTATTGGATGGCTGCCTAACAGGATCCCCGTAGTAGCGTTCTTTCTCCTAGTAGTAAGGCCAGGAGCCCCTAGTCGCGTTCTTGCTCCTGAGTATCTCCGCGCCCTCTTCCATATTTCATCCGAGGGCCAACGGCACCACCAAGCAACCCTTGGGCCAGTCGATGACCGCGTGAACCGTTGAGCGTCGGATCGTGAACGACCTCCCGCGGGTCCCGTGGATGGCCTCCAAACAACACTGACCAACACCACTTACAGTTCAGTGAAGGTACACAAATCAAAGTAAACGGCCTTTGAAAGGTTCACTTTGTTTGAGACACAGCCTAGCTACCATTGATTTTTTTTCTATGCCAAGTAAACACAGGACGCCGTATAAGCCAAAAAAACATGAAACCATTTTATGGAAACGTACTTGGAAGAGCCTGTTCCTCTGACTCTCTGACTGATGAGGCCCGGGTTATCTGGTATACTGTACGTACTTCTGCTTAATCAATTTTTGCCTGGTTGATTTTTGTGATGCTGCTATGCAAGGATCTCTTGGAATGTGCATAGGGGAAGCAGGGTTAGTTTCAATTCAGAAAACACACGACACTCAACTGTACTCAATCATCTGCTTGGTTGCAAGTCAGGAACTGTCGCATGTTTGACAAAACACAAGCAATGATAATGCCACATACAACCAACCCGTTAAGTAAGCAACGGCAGAAGCATCAGGGTCGGATGGACAAACAAATTTCCTCCAAATCTCATGCATATCGCTTGGAAGGACAAAACACATCTGGAGTTTCTTTGTCTGAATCGCGATGCTATCCTTCAACATGCTCAATATCCATTTGTTGAAGCCCCATAACAAATAAATGGATGCCTAGCTGAATGCAGCTCCCTCCACTCCGTAAGTACATTCCTTTTGAAACCTTGGTCTTTCGTGTCATCCAACGGTCGACCCGCCCCGACGGTCGACAGTCGGCGGGAAGCACCGTGGAGGGCGGCGCGGAAGGGCCACTGAAGGCCTCCAGCAGCGAGTCCACGTCCGCCTGGCGAAAAAATATAGAAAACGGTTGCATCCATCAACACTGAATGGGTCTTTGTTACTTATTATTGGTGCATGTAAAATCATGTAAGTGATAATAGCAAGCAATTAAAGTATATGTGTGTATAAATAAGTATATATATATAAATATATATATATACATAGTTGATCCTAACTGTGTGTTTAACAATTGTTCCCCACCTGTCATGTGAGGGTTGTTAGTTTTTATGTCAGCCCCATCTCCTCCTCCTCCTGCGCCTTCTCCTCCTCCTTCTCCCTCTCCTCCTCCCCGTCCTCCTCCGCCGGACCTCAACCACGACCATCTAAGCCCAGTGTTCCCTGCCAGACCTCAACGACGACCATCCACGCCCAGTGTTCCCTGCCGGACCTCAACCACGACCATCCACGCCCAGTGTTCCCTGCCGGACCTCAACCACGACCATCC